TTGAACCTGAGACGATGGACCCCACGAAACCCGATCCGGTCCTGTTGGGCGCGGTGCCTGGAAGCTGATAGGTGAAATCTTCCCTAAACCCTAAACCCTAAAACCTAAACCCTAAACCCTACAGGAATTGAACTTTCGGCTCCCGAGCTTCTGGGATTCAGAAACCTGGATGCCGTCCTCTGCGTCGGCGCTGCGGACCTGAGACAAACGCTGAAGACTGTACTATACTGCACTTAGACCCCTAGCAAAAATTATACTTTTAGCTGCTTCTTAGGGTTTATGATAGCCAAAAATTAAAAATTATTTCTAAGAACCCTTAAGTGCAGGCTTCCGGGTTCAGCCTTCTTTGAACACTGTTTAGGATTTCGGGTTTGGGACTTTTAGGGTTTAGGGCTTGGGATTTAGGGTTTAGGGTTTAGGATTTAGGGCTTGGGATTTAAGGTTTAGGGCTTGGGATTTAGAGGCTTTTCAGGTTTCATGAGTTCCAGGTTGTGGGCCAGTTTAGGGTTTTGTTAGGGTTTAGGGTTTAGGGTTTAGGGTTTAGGGTTTAGGGTTTAGGGTTTAGGGTTTAGGGTTTAGGGTTTAGGGTTTAGGGTTTAGGGTTAGGGTGTCGAGTCCAAACGAGGCGGAAGTACCATCAACCTGTCGAAAAATGGGATTTCGCACCCCCGAGTCCTCTTGAAGTTTGGCCATTTTGGGGGGCCTGAATAGTTGGGACGGGGTTTCGGGGTACGTTCTACTATCATTGTAATAAGGAGCCCCCAAAACAGCTTTGGTAGTTATTTAGGGTCTAAATAATACTGCAGCACTTTTCCCGATCACTCTTTGCGATCACTACGAACTCAAGCACATCTCCCTAAAATATTTCTGACATGCTCTCTCAGTGTCTCCAAGAACTCTCGGAAAGGCGCTCTTAAACTTAGTTTAGGGTTCAGCGGGTTCAGGGTTTAGGGGTTTAGGGTTTAGGGAGTTTAGGGTTCAGGGTTCAGGGTCTAGGGTTTTAGGACCATATCTTCGCGTTTAGAGTTTAAGCAAGGTCCAGGGAGTCGCTTACATTGAGCTTCTGCAAGATGTAAGTTCATCGCTGCTGTAGCCATGATAGATCGCATGGGGTAACTTTGTAAAGGGACAATAGGAGGGACCCCTAGAAGGAACCCCTAATCCAAATACCCCATATGGCCCTTATATGCTCTTTATATAGTCTCATAAAGCCGCCCTAAACCCTAAACCCTAAACCCTAAACCCTAAACCCTAAACCGCTATATAGCCCCAAGGGTGCCTTTAAAGGTCCCTCCTTTAGTCCCTTGACTTTGAGGGATTACGATTTAGTGCTCAGGATGAATCATGATGGCACACGAATGGACCCTAATTCAGAGAACTACCCTTTAGAGAAACCCTATAGAAAACCCTTATAGAGCCCTGTAAGGAACCCTAGAAAGGGGACCCTACTTCATTTACTTACTTCCCCAACAAGCCAGGGAAAAAAAAGGTTAAACTTCCCAAATTACTACTCGATTATAAGGACCCAAAAAGTAAACGTTGGGTATTGGGGAACTAAGCACATGATAGGGTAGAACAGTACAAGCAATGGTGGTGATCACGACCAAGAAGGAACACAACTACACCTGAGGAAGATGATAATCATACTGTTGATGGACAAAATTCTGCATAACACAAATATAGTATAGTACCATAAATCCCATAGTTTAGGTATGTAAGGTCATGCAGGANNAGGATTTTGTCCATCAACCGTAGGAGGACCGCAACTGCCTCAACAAAGTCCACGATTTCAAACCTTTGCTCGCACCCCTCGAACATGTTGCGGCTTTAGGAGATGAGGACATGCCCAAAACAACCAACCAGCCCCCCCCCCCCCCCCCCGCCCTCGTGTCCCTATATAATGTACCTATACTATGATTCCCAAGCCCTGTCCCAATCGGGAGCCCTCCCTCTCTGACTGAGGACGATGCAAGGCTCATGTTCGGGATCTGCACGGCCGTTTGCCTCGGGTTTAAGGTTTTGTTGGAGAAGAGGGCCGTGCTATGACACCTGCTTAAGGGGCCTTACAATCACTCATAGACTAGGGCTTGGTGGTAGCATCTGACGGCAGAACTATGAAAGGACTGGAAGGGAGTACGCATACTACTAATTACGCATTATTTTCACCTTGGAAGGTGGGATGTTGCACCGGTGCTGAAAAGCTTTGTGGTGTTCTGGATGAGGATGTTTGGACAGGGTAGTGAGCAAGGTTTGTTTTGTATAGCTTTGATGCGAATGAAAACTAGGAGCAAAATCGCCACTTATCGTGGCGCCTATAGCGTAAGCGTTTACCTTGAGCTGAAGGAATGTAAAACAGCCGTGACCAACACCGGTCAGTGTCGACGTACCAAAGCCACTCATGCCAACTTGCATCGCACGCCGCCCTCAAAGTGCCTCAGTGCTGTGAGGTGTTCTTGGTTCCCCGGCACCGTCGCTGAAGTGTCCTGCGACACGCCAAGCCGAGACATCTCGTTATGCTGGAGGTTAGACATTAAGGAGCAAGGACAGCGCAATGCCTAGTTATCGGAGACAGCGAAGCCTGTGTGAAGCAACGTATTCAAACCTACAGCTTCTCGAGTCGAGTGCGCCAAAACTCTCTAAGAAGCCCCAAAAACCCTAAAGCAGGGACAAGTAGAGTAGGGTTTCCGTTGAGGGTTTCGGCTTTAGGGTATACTCTAGTATGCTATTTTCAAGGGACAACAAAACACTAGTAGTATTGCCAATTCCCCGGGGGGCGCCAGATCTTTGGTTCCAGTCTCCGCTACTTGAGGCTAAACCTCCAAAACTTAAAGCCCGAAACCCGAAACCCCAAATCCTAAAACCCTGAACCCTAGACCCCAAAGCCCTAAACCCTAAACCCTGAACCCTAAACTCTAAACCCTAAACCCTGAACCCTAAACCCTAAACCGCCTAAACCCTAAACCCTAAACAAGGCTAAACCCTGAACCCTAGACCCCAAAGCCCAAGCCCAACCGGCTTTCCGAAGCTCCCGTGCCTGCGCATCCGTGAGGAAGGTGCCATCTCCACCTGGGCCTTAGGGTTTAGGGTTTAGGGTTTAGGGTTTAGGGTTTAGGGTTTAGGGTTTAGGGTTTAGGGTTTAGGGGTCGAACCCTTTTCTGGGTTCTTGGTGAGGGATATAGAACAGGGTTCCTTAAAGCCGAAACCCTTATGGAACCCTTGCGTTTGGAAGCTTACAAAGCTCTTCTAGTCACAAGTATAGAACCGTTACAAAGCCCATAAATTCTCGCTGGGACTCCAGAAAACGGACCCCAGAAGCATTTACGGGTTCCTCAACTCCATCCCAAAACCTACCCTCAAAAACATTCCAAACCCTAAACCCTTAAACATACTCCTGAAACCAGCAACGTCCTTTGGATGTTGCCCGGAGCTTTTGGAGGCGTGGGTGCGCTTTTGACTAGTGCTCTTGGGTTCCTACCAGCTTCCAGGGTTTCATAGGGGTTTATAGGGGTTTAGGAAGTCTGGGGGTTTAGGCTTAGGGGTCTGGGGTTTGGGGTTTGGGGGTTGGGGTCTGGGGTTTAGGGTTTAGGGTCTAGGGGCTTAGGCTTAGGGGTCTGGGGTTTGGGGTTTGAGGTCTGGGTTTAGGGTTTAGGGTCTAGGGGTTTAGGCTTAGGGGTCTGGGGTTTGGGGCTTGGGGCTTGAGGTCTGGGGTTTAGGGTTTAGGGTCTAGGGTCTAGGGGTTTAGGCTTCGGGGTTTAGGGTTTAGGGTTTCGGTTCCCTAAACCGAAGGGTCCAAAACTCCAAAGCCGACGCCACAATGATGTGGGCTTAGGACCCGATGTTCTGGCTACTAATGCGACCACGATCACCGTCAGTATAAAACGATGCATCTAACTAAGGACTCGATGCTGGTGGTTTCTTGCACGTCCACTTCTGGCACGAGTTTTGCTGCGCTTGTTCTCGGCGGTGCGATCCCTAAACCCGTAAACCCTAAACCCCTAAACCCCTAAACCCTAAACCCCCAAACCCCAACGCTGCTCATGAAGATGCGGTGCAAGGACAAGTGATGATCAGGCTGACGATTGTTTTTGCGTGTGTTCTGCAGAGGGCCGGGATGAACAATGCTGACATTTGCGACACTTTTTCCGTACTTCCACAAGCACAAGAAGCAGTAGCTGACGACTCACCACGCTGAACCCCGGCAGCATTAACAGGATGTGAGATGCCGGCAAAAGACTTCCAGCTGCACTTCACTTACTTCTTGCCGCACGAGACAATAGACGAAGGACGAGTAATCTTACCTATTTTGGAACCTGTCCCTCCTCACAACACTGAGCATGAACATTGCTTGGGCCCTGGCCGCTGGGCATTGGTAAGGCCTGGTAGATAGGGGCCCTAAACCCTAAACCCCTAAACCCCTAAACCCCTAAACCCCTAAACCCCTAAACCCCTAAACCCCTAAACCCCTAAACCCTAAACCCTAAACCCTACCATAAACTCCAAACCCTAAACCCTACCATAAACTCATCAAGATGAAACTCGGGACAAAGCCTTTCGGCCTTCTCCGACATGGAGGTTTGGGTTTTTTTGGCTTAAGACTTGGGTTTAGGGTTTTGGGTTTAGG